AGAGACCAGGAGGCCCAGGAGGACGGGAGCTCATGGAGCATGCGCAGTACTGTAGTGGCCTGAGCGCCGTGGGGAGCCTGTGGGCGGAGCCCCGAGGGGTGCGGTGGTCAGAAGGATGGCGGTAAGGCCGGGCGGAAGAGATGAGAGCGGCCGCTGGGAACAGGGCTGTAAGAAAGGAAGCTGGTGGCGCCTGTCCTTAATGTAAAACAGTTTTATTTCCTCATGGCGTGGATGGAGTTGTGAAAGCGAGTGAGGGGAAGGTGGATTATTCCACAAAAGGCCCTGGGATACCAGAGAGGATACTGGGCAAGGAGAAGGAGCCAGCAAACGTGTAGGTAAAGTGGAGCGAACGTTGCCTATGTAAGAGAGCGAGGACAGTAATATGCAATTGTTAGGTTAAAAAATGTGTAAATCAGCGTTGAGCAATAACCAAACTGAGAGGCGTACTGAGCGAGGTAAAGTTATTACGTCTCCTTCTTAAGATACTCAACTTTAAACTTACTAAGCACGCAGCAAATTTTTAAAGGTAATTATAAGGTAGACAGCGCCAAACCAGAAGAGAAAAAAATGGAATATGAATAAGCAAAAACTGATGAATCTGTAAAAGACAAGAACTGGAAGCAAAGCTACATACACAAAGAGTGAAATAAAGGCAAAAGAAAAATAAATACAAACATACAGTACATTAGATATAAATATTGGATCATCAATTAGAATATAGAAATTGTCAGATCAGATCAAAATACAAACATACAAATTGGAGTTGTATGTTAGTCACAAAGGTTACACAACATATAAGAAAGTATAACCTTTGAAAGTAAAAGAATGGTTAAAAAATATTAACACTCATTAAACAGAGAAAGCTGTAGAAGCCATAATAATCAGACACAATAGATTTTAAAGTAAAAAATATTAGCCATAGAAAGGTTCAGTTCACCAAAACCATACCAGTCATAAAAGCGTATGCACCTGTTAAAATTGCCTCAAAGTTCATAGAATTACAGGGATAAATAAGCAACCCAATAAATAATAAATTGGTAGTAAGAGTCTCACATAGAGGAGATTTCAACACATTTTTCTACTTAACAAATATGCCATAATTTATTGAACTAGTCCCTGCTAGTGGCCATTAAAGTTGTTACTAATCAAGAATACATTTAAAGTGAGATATGCCACAGTCAACCAGATAAATACTGAAAGCTTTCATATCATGTACAGTAGCACACTTAGACAGTTAAACCCAAAATGAGAAAATTACTATGTTAATAAGAATCTTGCCTTTGTGGAAATGATCATACTGATCTGTTTCTTGTAGGTACGTGTAATAAGCATATAGCTTCTATTTCAGAGAATTACATTTTATATGAATCTCTTTTTCTTTCTTTTCAAGGAATATTGTACTGTTTCCAGCAATACACCAAACTTCAGGAACACCCAGAATCTTCATTAACTCTTTATAACATTGGGATTGAGACTAATATAAGCATGTACTTTCAATTGAAACAGACATGGTTTATATTAAGTGAGTAGACTTTTAAAATTAATTTTGTTAAATTGTAATAATGAGAAACTCTTTTCATCTAAGGGAAAGCTTGGGCTGATGTAACCTGCTAAACACATTTATCACCAATGTAATTACAGGTAAATGTCTGCAAACTATAGTAAATGAAAAATCCACTGAAGAGAATTTATTGTATAATCTAAGAAAATACTACTTTCCAAAGATCACAAGCCTTTTGCTTTCAGCTTAAAATGGTTTGATGATGGACATGTGTAACCATGAATTTGATATCTAAGAAGGTGTTTAAAAAGAAATATGTGATGGATTTTTTAAACTTGTTTTAAAGCTAAAGAAATTTTTTATAACAAAGCATTTGAAATATTATAGGAATTGCAATCAATAACTGAAAATAAATGTACATTTTGAAATGTTTATTCAGATTATTAAATTAGTTAAGGGCAATGCTAACACTTTTTAAAGCAAGATTTTAATTTCATATTCCTAAAATGGTTTTATTACAATCGCCCTTGCACTTCACAGAGACTTGTGTACTTTAATCAAGATTTTAATAATATCGAGTTACATGTTGCTTTAAAAAATTCATCTCCACCCTGTTGCTCATCGCCACCTTGGAGGAAGCCTGGTGAGAAGCCCAGCAAGCCCTCAGAAGGGGCTGCTATCTGCAACACAGCGTGGGTTGGGCCTAGGTCCCATCCCCATCCATTGGGAATTTTGATTTTGCCTCTTCATTCAAAAACCCTCAGGCTTTTGATGGCAGAACCACCTTATGTCACCACATGCCATTTTATTTGTTTACACCTGAAGATACTCTTCCTGTGAGCAGAAGACAATCATATCCCACCTAGAACACCACTTTCCTGGGATCAAAGCAAAGCCGGGGGTGTGGGGCAAGATCATCAAAGAGAAGCTTCTTTCAGCAGAGGGGCTCAGACAGCCCTGGGGGACATTTTCTTCAGGCTGGTGCCAACCTCGATAACCTAGCTCTGCAGCTACAAGTCCCCACCAGATTCTCCCCTCCACAAGATTCTCATGTCTGCCAAATTCAGTTTTTCTCTTTTTCTTGAGTAAGACTCGATCAGAATGCCAATTCTTACTCTTTGGCTCCCCATTTCTAACTCCCCTGAAGACTATTTTCCTTCACTTACATTATTTTTTTAAAATACCCTGCAGAACAATTGCCTCATTTGTAAATTTTCTTTTTAACTACAAAATTAGGCAGCTTGGGAACTGCACCTTCATCACTTCGCCTGAGTCTGGGTGACTCTATATTTCTTCAGCAATCCACTTGCTATTATCTAACCTTTCTAAAGCAGACAGTTTTCATCCATTATGTGCTGAAACTTTTAGTTCTATTTTTCAGTGGATCTCAGTTACCAGTTGTATGATCAGTGCCTGCTGACTCAGAATACCCTTGCACAGCAGAGTCTGGAAGATAATCAGACTCTGCCATGGGAAAGTACAAGAGATGTACTGTTAAGAGAATAGAGTGGGTCGGGGATTTAGCTCAGTGGTTTTGCCGCCTGCTGCACAAGCGCAAGGACCCAGGTTCGATCCCTGGACCCAGGTTCGATCCCTGGTACCAGAAAATTAAAAATAAAAATAAAAACAGAAAATAGAGTGGATTCTTTCACCCTTAAAATTTCAAGTCTAGCAATACCAATTTCTTCCCAAATGAACCTCAGGTTCATAACCTGTTTATTAGAATTCCTTCATTACTTTCTCTGTGTTTGAACAAAATTCCTGGTAGCAGAGACAAAGGAGTACATGTGAAATCATACTTATTGATAGAAACACTAAAAATAAACAGTATTGTAAATACAAAAATTACAGTTGTATGACGGCAAGGTTGTGTTAGGAGATAGTTCAATTCCCATCTTTGCCATAACTAACTCGTGAACTTGGGTACATGTTTTAGCCCATACATCTCCTTCTCCTCCTCTATTGAGAATTATACTGTTGGCCAGGGATTTAGCTCAGTGGTTTCGCCGCCTGCTGCGCAAGTGCAAAGACCCGAGTTCAATCCCCGGTACAAAAAAAAAAAAAAATTATACTGTCTTCTTTATAAGATACCACATATGTTCTATTATTTGCTCCCATTAAACACAAGAGAGAGGATATATAATCTATAAATTCAAAGGACACTTAAATTTCTCTAATAAAACCATTTTGGTATGTCACTTTGTAAAGGTTTAAGCTTAGTATACAATATTCTTTAACAATACAATTTCAGAATATGTATTGATTCTGATATAAACTTCATGTTCTTAGATTTGTTCAAAGATAAAAAATTAACATAATATGGCTATACACCACAATGTAAGGCTCAAATTAGTGTTTTAGGAAAGCAGAAGGTGGGTGAAAAGAAGGGAAAATAAGTAGAATAAAGATATGCTATGTACAAGAACCTAATAACCTCAGTGAATGTAAACATCATAAGCCATGCACATGAGCTAAGATTAATAATATCAACAACAGTGAAAATGAGAAAAGGAGAATTAAAGGATGAGGATGGAGCAGGGGAGGGAAGGGGATTAAAAAAAGAAACAAGTGCATGTACCTGCTCACCAAGATGATTGTAAACTACATGTACTAATAAAAAGAGAAACAAATCATAGTTTAACTAGAAGAAGATGTCGAAGCAAGGTGACACATTGGTAAGTTCCACTCAGCCCTCTGGATTAACTGACTTGGAGATAGTAACCAATGTGTGCTATAATGTGAGAATCTTACTGGCTTAGCCATAGAATGAAATAATGAGCTCGCCATCACTGAAAGTATTCAAGCATGAACAGAATAAGTCTAGCAAGGTGATTATAGAAGGGTTCCTTCACACATAGAAGGGTAAGTTTCCATGAAGTTTCTTCTATACTTTCAGAATCTGCTGGGAGCAAAATCATATTTTTTTAATTTTAAGATCCATATCTTCCCACTTTTTAACATTTCTGAAATCAGAGTGCATCACAAAATTGCTGAATAGACATCTAATGAAAGAGTTTTTTATTTTTCCTAAAAATTTGTTAATAGAATGTATGTTAGAGTTGAAAAAATACAAGAAGTCTGTATGTCCTCACATCAGATAAAACTAATTCAGCTAGTAGCAGAAGGGAACTAACTGGAATAGGACATGGATAGAGGATGGGGGTTTTTAAAAATATAGAAGTGGCTCATCAAACTCTAAAAAATAAAAAGGCAGCTGGGCATGCAAGTTTAAGTGGGTTCAGAAGAAAAGTCCACAAGAACCCAAGAGTTCCTTTTACTTCCTTATACACATACATTTCTTTCTTTGCAGATTCACTTTCTTCACATAAAGATAATTTTGACACGCTTCACTGTTTATTAAAACCTCAGATCAAGAGGTGTAAGGACTAAGACTGAACTAGAGTCCTGTAGTTTTGGTACTGGCCATGTTGGGTTGGGTTTGCACCCTGATTCCAGCATTTAGTGGTCATAGAATAAAAACGTAGTACCCAAGAGCCCGCCCTGTCAGGACAAATAATAGGCATTGAGAGCAAGGTGGACAGCCTAAACATTTATTCTCTCATGGTTTCTTACTCAATGAAACTAACAATGTGTACATCTGAAATAGCACCACCTAAAGTGACCCTTTCTTCATTGCTTCCTGGCCCAATTTTTACGAGTGCTGTGAAAATGCTTTTAGGGGTGCAATGAAGCCTGTCCAATTGTGTTGTTCAAACTCTAGCTAAAGATTTTAATCTGCATTTCTTAGTATTTCTTGGAGGTGTCAAATGTGACTTTCTAAGACCAGCATTATGGAGAGGTACCACTGCTTATATTATGAGGTATTGGAATTGATAGAAATAATCATAAACCTTGGTCCTAACTTTTACAGAAAAAACTTGGTATTTTTTAATTAATTTGTATCACAGACTAATTTTTTTTCCTCTTCAAAGTGATAATACTCTGCATCCTTGAAGTGACTATCATCCTCCTGCTGATCTTCCTCAGGAAACGAATTCATCTGGCCATTGTCCTGCTGAAGGAAGGGAGCAAGTAAGACCCTTAATATAGAAACTCAGACAATATGTATCCATCAGTTAATCTAGCTACTGCATCGCATGGATGCCCCACACCTCTTTCCCCATAAGAAGACCTGCTAAAAGAAACTATTTTCAACTCAGGAAGACTTGGTCAAGTTCAGACTCTGCCACTTATTAGAAAGGTCACCACTGCCAAGACCTTTAATATTCTCAGGCCTCAGTCATCATATGGTAAAAGAGGATAAAAATCTGTCTGGCCTCTGCATTAGCATTTTTGAATACCAAGTATATATATGAAAGTAAAAAAAAAATTCTGTATAAAAGTTAGCTATATTATTTCCAGAGTGGGTTAATATTAATGATTGAACTATTTTGTAAAACTTTAAATTACCTTAATTCTATAAAGTCATTTGTATGCTATTATCATTTCTGTACAAGGGGAAACTTTGCTAATATCACAATTTATTCTGGAAGAACCAGGCTATACATTTTGTATATAAAGCTCACAATTCAGGAACACTTAACACTCATAGCCATTTTTCACTTAAAAATGTAATGAAATAAACATTAATTCAAACAAAGTTCATACTGGGAGGCAATAACACCTATGGTTTCCAAATTATTCCAGAAGGTCACTTGAAATTAATATGTTTTGAATCATTCATGGAAGAGTGGAGGAACGCATGCCTATAAAGGCAAAACCATACTTTCTACTTAGAATGATGGAAGCTAAAGTTGTTCAGGACCAAGAACCAAATTACTTTTAATCATGTTTAAGGACTATTTTAACAAAATTGCCATATTATTATTGAAATAATAGTGCCACATGAAGGCAGTGGTTTAAACTGTTCACAAGCAGTTTGTTAAACCCTCTCCTTTTCCCACAATGACTGTCGCCCTATCATTATCCATTGAAAACTACTGATTTTCTGGGGTTATTTCTTAAATAGTACATTACTGAGCAGTTCACTGTAACTTGCCCCACTTGTCTTGACCCTAAATGTGCGTGTGCACATGAGTGTGTGTGTGTGTGAGTGTGTGTGTGTGTGTGAGAGAGAGAGAGAGAGAGAGAGAGAGAGAGAAACAGCCAGTACAACTGTGAGAGGCTGATAGTGTGTTCAGGGGAAAATAGGGGCTGGCAGAAAGGGACACAAGAATACACAGCAAACTGAAAAATGCTCAATAATGCACTTAAAGTCAGTAAATGGAAAAATAATGAGGCAAAGAAGGTAACACATGTGAAGGAAACCTAGGACATGTCAGTGCACGTGGAGCGATCAGATTTCCATAGTGATTTCCAATAGTTATATCATATATTATTGTGTTTAATCCACTCTCAAATGCTGAAATAGTCACTTCAAAGAAGTAGCCAGAGATTTAGCTCAGTGGCATCGTGCCTGCCTTGCGAGCACAAGGTCCTGAGTTCAATCCCCAGTACAAAAAAAAAAAAAAAAAGAAGTAGTTAGAAACAGAACAACTAAGCTGGCAGAGATTACAGATCTTATGTGGAAATGTCAAAGAAACGATTATCTGGAAGAAAAAAATCCAATAAGGGGTTACTTGAAGAGTTGCTATGAGGAGATGGTGGTAAAATGATTCCTTCTTGCCCACAAATTAGTGGGCGTAAGTTACAAATAGGCAGATAAGAAAGACTTTCTAATACTTTTTAAAGAAAATGAGCCAAGCTGTGTCATGTAAGCCAATGAACAGGTTTTGTTTTATTTCAGAGCCATTGGATACATCCCTAGTACATTAGTTTATCCAGTTTTAACCTTCATTTTGCTCTCCATCTGTTTTTCCTACTGGATTGTGACAGCACTGTATCCTTTGGTAATTGACCTCTTTAAACTTCATTTCCACTTTACTGTTCAGAAACCTGGAGTTGGTGTCTGGTGTTTTCTATCCTTGGGAAGAGGAGAAATATCCTGAAGAAATAACTGAAATTTTCTCCAGGTCATAAAAGAGTCGCAGTCTACTGACTTCATTCCCCCCTAAAGGGTCGTGTGGTAGATTTGTTTTGTTTTGTGTTCTTATAAACTAAGAACCCTCTTTAAAGTTTTGACTGAGGTTATCTTAATCTAGGCCTGATAGATGGCTGAATCATTAAAATACAGTATTAGATTTTTGAGGTTAATTTCTCCATGGACTTTAGAGTAAGCTGCGCTTGTCCATTTTCAATCTACCAGAAAATTATCCTTAATAGAGCGCATTCAGTTTCTTGGCTACATCAGGGGTACCTGTTTACAAAGTTTCAGCCCCAGAGGGGCAATGTGTACATGAAAATGAAACCTGTGACCCAAGGGTAAGTAAAAGAGACTTTCTTGTTTACTTATTATGTGCAGAAGGGAGGAGTGGGTCAGGCGTTGGCAGGAAAGCATTGAAATTGGTGGGCAGAAGAGCGAGAAAGCATTATCGTTTGCTGGGATTTCTTGTCCTATCATATATTTGAGAAGCTAGTGTGATTAATGAAAACATTAATAAATTTGAAATTGTAGTGTTTGCTGAGTAATGAGCATATGATGGAAAATGAGATACTCTCCAGAGTATATTAAAGAATGATTTAATGTGACATGACAGCAGATAGAGGAGTAACAGCAAAAGCGAAGGGAGAAAAAAGCAACATATGCAATTGAGCTACAAAAGAGGAGAATGCAGTGAATTGTTATCTTGGAATGGCATGTAATATTCTCATGTTGATCTTTTCTGACTCCAGATTTTTAATACAACTGATGTTCCCAAAGCATGCCCTGGGGCTCTCTGTAACTTCGCTTTCTATGGTGGAAAAAGCCTGTACCATCAATATATAAGTACCTTGCATTTGTACAATCTATTTGTCTTTCTCTGGCTCATAAACTTTGTTCTTGCACTGGGTCAATGTACCCTTGCTGGTGCCTTTGCTAGTTACTACTGGGCCATGAAAAAACCCGACAACATCCCAGCACTTCCGCTTTTTAAAGCATTTGGACAAGCCGTACGGTAAGCTCCATGTTAAACTCCACAGCGTTTCCTCATCTATGTTTAGTCTGCTTATAATTCAGGCGAGCTGGTCAATTCAACTGGCAAGGTCCCTATGAGGTCTAAAGTATGATTCAAGATTCGTGGATACCCATTGGCTTATCTGGTTTCATAGCCACAATTTTACAGTCTTTCTAAACCAGTCAGCTACTAGAGATGGGAAGGGGTAGAAGAGAACATCAGATGAAAAACTAAGGATTAACTTGGCTCTATATCTCCATTGATCAGATCAAACATCCTAATTTATGAAAACACACTACTGATAAATGAAGGATAAGACAGATGTATATAATTTAAAACCATTTATGGAAACTTTTATCTATTTGAATAAGATCTTCTGAAGATCCCCTTTGCCTGAAAATTGTTCAGCTAGCAACCTGTGATTTAATAGTAAAGATATTTTAACTTTTGCTCTCATTTTATCTTTGCCTAGATATCACACGGGATCTCTGGCATTTGGATCATTAATTCTTGCATTAATTCAAATGTTTAAAGTGATCCTAGAATACTTGGACAGACGTCTTAAAAGTAAGGCTTTGGACTGCATCTCAGACTTTCAGACTTCTGTGCAGAGAATGGAATGGGGTGGGGCGGGGAGAGCTGAGGGCTGTAAGTTGGACTAGGGTAGTGAGGAAGGAAATGGTCAGGTGTGGGATATGTTTTAAGGAGCAATCCAACAGGACTTGCTGAATAACTGGACGTTGGGGGGAAGGGAGGAGCAATGGTGAAGGGAAAGAAAAAAATGTGTGTAGCCTTATTTATTTAGATGTGGAAGCCAGGAGAAGCACATTTCAGAAAGGAGGTTAAGGTTTGTTTTATGGTGTTTCTGTTGAAAAGCATGGTGGAGGCTATGCAGCTCCAAGTCTAGAGTGCAGGTCATGTTAGTAAAACATAAATGTGGGTGGCATTGGCATAAGTCTTCTTAATAAAACATATAGTTTATAGGGGCCGGGCATTTAGCTCAATGGTTTTGCCTCCTGCTGTGCAAGTGCAAGGACCCGAGTTTGATCCCCGGTACCAAAAGAAAAAAAAAGAAAAATATAGTTTACAGATGCATAAACTCTGCTTATAATGTGCCTTAAAAGATAGCCAAAGCAATCTCGCAAAGGAACATCAAAGTTGGAGGATCCACACTTCCTAATTTCCAAATTTAATACAAAGCTACAACAATCAAAACAGTGTGATATTGGCATAGGACAGACATATAGACCTAGAACAGAACCCCCAAATAAACCCTTACATATAAAACTATTTGATATGAAAAGATCCATTTTTTCAGTGTGTGGTGCTGGACAAACTGGACATCCCCATATAAAAGTATGAAACTGGACTCTTACACTAAATTAAATAAAAACTAACCCAAAATAGGTCAAAGATCAAAACATAACAGGTAATAGTATAAAACTCTTATAAAACAGCATAGGAAAAAATCTTCATGACATTGCATTTGGTGTAGATTTCTTGGCTTATCATGCCAAAAGCACAGAAAATAAAAGGAAAAATAAATTGAACTTGATCAAAATTAAAAGCATTTGGGCATCAAATCAAAGGACATAGATAAGACGAGGAAGGAAAGAGGAAAAGAGAAAAGAGAAAGAAGAAAGAGAGAGGGAGGGAGAGACCCATATAATGGAAGAAAATACTTGCAAATAATATACCAGATAAAGGATTAAAGAACTTCTACATCTCAACAGCAAAAAAAAAAAAAAAAAAAATGGGAAAGACTTCAGTACAGAATTTGCCAAAGATGATATATGATATAAAAATGGCCAATAAGGACATGAAAAGTTACTCAGAATCACTAGTCATCTGAGAAATCAAAACCACATTGAGATACCACTTGATACCCATTAGAGTGGCTATGAAAATAACAACAACAGACTCAAAAATAACTTGTGTTATAAGGATACAGCAAAAATGAAACCCTTGTATATTGTTGTCGAAAATGTAAAATGGTATAGCCACTGTGGAAAACAGTGTGGTTGTTCCTTTAAAAAGTCAAAATTAAAATTTCCAATCAATCCAGAAACTCCACTTCTAAAAATATATCCAAAAGCTTGAAAGCAAGGAAGCAAACAGATATTTGCACACCATATCCATAGTGGCATTATTAATAATAGCCAAATGATGGAAACAACCCAAATTTCCATTAAAAGTTAAATGGAAAAACAAAATGTGTGACAAACATGCAGTGGAATATCAGCCTTAAAAAGGAATGAAAAGATGAACCTTGAAAACATGAAACCCAGTGAAATAAGCAAGATAGGAAAGGAAACATTTCATACTACTCACTTATGAGGCATCTAGAAGAGGCAAATTCATACAGACAGAAAAGAAAATAGAGGTTACAAGAGGCTGTGGGGGCAAGGAATCACTGTGGAATGGTTATAGAATTTCTATTTGAGATGATATAAAGTTCTGAAAATGGATAGTGGTCATAGTTACACAACACTGCAAATGTGCTCAGGCCTTTGAATTGTACACTTAACAATGCCATTGTTACTATGGCAAGCTTTCTATCATATATACTTATTTTCTGTATATTTAAATATTTCCTTCTTAAAGGTGCCCAGAACAACATCTCTAAATTCCTAAAATGCTGCCTGGGATGCTGTTTCTGGTGTTTGGAAAAAATGGTAAAGTTTTTAAACAAAAATGCTTATATTATGGTAAGTAGATTTTTTAAAATTAACTAAGCTGCTGTTTTGAAAACCTAATCCCATGTCTGCATTGCTCCTGCTGCCGCAGCATTTTTATATCTGTGCAGTCAAATGTATCACCATACTGATAAAAGGATTTGTGAATTCAATGCAGGATTCACAGCTATGCTGATGGACAGTATCTTACCATAATCTATTAGTACTTTCATAGCTTTTCATGAGGGTAAATATTATTTTCAGTGGAAGTTTAAAAGCATGCTAGACTGCAAATGACTTATGTGTCTTTGACAGTTTATTGAGAGGAAGGATTATTTAGCCTGCTTCCCTGGAAGAAGAAGAAATCTTTCTAATTCTGGGATTTACAGAATTGTAAGGGCCAGTCTGACCCTTTGTGTGAATCATGTTTTGGAATGTGTGGGCATTGATAGAATTTATTACTTATTTCCTATGCAGATATGTAAATTTCTACAGAAACTTTTTAAAATAGGTGATCCAGAAAAATAATTCTCTCATCATTTAGAAGCTACATATCTTAGTCATTTTCTTTGTTGCTGGGACAAAACATACAACACCTGCAAATTAAGGGAAGAGAAGTTTATTTTGGCTCACAGTTTGCAGAGGTTTCAGTCCATTTTCAGCGGCTCCAAGGCAGGGAGATGTGGCAGAGGGCCTGAGGGAGGATTGCTGCTCACTGCATGGGGCACAGAAAGCAGAGAGCTCAAGGGAGGAGCAGGAGGGAGAAAAAAGCACTCCCGGCCACGCCCCCAGTGACTGCCTCTTCCACCCAGATCCCGCCTCCTAACAGCAAGTCAGCTCTAAGCCCCTGTAATCCACACACCTTCCAGCAGCCCCGCCTATGAGTTCTTGAGACTTGGGGGACATCTAGATATAAATTATAATGCGGCACCCTTGTGACATTTGCTCATTGTCACAGTGACACAGGGCAGATCTGAGGTGCTTAGAATCCTCATGGCCACAGGGCAGATCTGAGGTACTTAGAATCCTCAGGGCCACAGGGCAGATCTGAGGTGCTTAGAATCCTCAGGGCCACAGGGCAGATCTGAGGTGCTTAGAATCCTCAGGGCCACA